TTCATTTTTTTTTTTTTGAAAGGACGTACTGGTCTTTTGGCTAGACAAGGGCGTAGATGGGTTCAGAATTGACGCAGCTCCCTATTTGTTCGAACATGCCGATTTTCAAGATGCACCGCCGCCTGATAATGTGTCACGTAGTTATGTTCAGAATCAACCAGAAACGTATGATATGATTTATCAATGGCGACAAGTTATTGACGATTACAATAAACAGAACGGCGGAGATACCAGGTAACAGCCACGTGTTAATGGCAGGAGATGTAAATCAATAGCCATATTATAAGAACTGCTTCTTCCAAACCAATAATATAAGAAATCGTGCCCCTTTTTGGAACATTTCGAAAACTTACGCTGGTACCAATACTTTGTAATTTATCTTGTAAAGTGAAGATAGTGGCAGATTTTTTTTTTTATAAAAAAAGCAATTCTTGTTTGTATGTCTATTTTCCATTCGCACGGATTTTGTGTATTTGAAAATCTCTGTTTCGATAGGGTACTCATGACCGAGGCATACACCCCTATAAACAGCACTATGCTCTACTATGGTAATGAAACAGTCGATGGAGCTCATTTTACTTTCAATTTCTATCTGATAATCAATACTACAAATAACAGTACTGCCAACCAGGTCGTTTCAGTAATAAACACATGGTTTCAAAACATGCCAAGAAGATTTGTAGCTAATTGGGTGGTAAGAATAGTTATCCAGATATCTCATTCAACTCCTAAGATTGAATTTTATAATCGATTTCATTATTAAAACAATAAAACTTAAAATTCCACATAAAAACGTTAAAAATCTATAAAAGGTGTTTTTGCTAATTTTCCTGTATTAATCGATTGTTTTGTTATAAGATTACAAATTGATTTTCCATTTAAGGAATTTTACTATAGAGATTTTACGTGATTGGGAATCGTTTTTTGTTGCGTTTTAGTTGGGTAATCACGACAGACATAGAGTAGCCACCCGTCAAGGGGTTGAAAATGTGGATGGATACAACATGTTGATAACCCTTCTACCGGGTATAGCTAACACTTATAATGGAGAAGAAATTGGAATGGAAGACGGAGAAGTAACATGGGAAGAAGGACAAGATTCAATAGCATGCCAGTCAGCCAGGGAAAACTTCCAGAGTACAAGCAGAGATTTTCAGAGGACTCCGTTCCACTGGGACTCTACGGTTAACGCAGGATTTAGTACAGCGAATAAAACTTGGCTGCCAGTCAGTTCAAAATATAGAACAAACAATCTTGAACTACAAAGTAGAGACGGGGTAAAAAGTCACTTCCATATCTACCAAGATCTAATGAAATTGAGGAAAGAAAACACTTTCATTTTCGGAAACTTGAACATAGAGGTTTTAGATACTAATGTTTTTGCATTTACAAGGGAATTGGATGGTAACGACACCTACGTTTTTATATTTAATAACGGATATAATTCTGCCACTGTGTCATTATCTTCGTTTAAATCTATCGCTGACTGTGCGGACGTTAGAGTAGTTCTATCCAGTACCAACTCATTGAGAAACAAAGGGTAAGATGTGTAAAATTAAATAGTTTATTT